ATATGAAACAATGGGGAAAAAAAGGCTAACTTAGCCGAGATATAAACAGGGGACAAAAACAAACTGGGGAGGTTGGGACTCTCGACATGGATCATAAGAAAAGAGAGTGCCGGGAACAACACTTATTCACATTGACTAGAAAAACAAAATGGTGTTAACTTTATCAGGGAAGGGTTCACAGGAAATCGCTCCGTTGCATCAAGGTGACTTAAAAGAGAAAATCAAGGCTAGCCCCGTTCACACGAACCAGGTTCGCCCCAGTCACCCACCTTTCGCTGAAATCTGTCGCAATCAAACGCTTTCTATCAGATCTAATTTTTACCCTAAATTGATGCTTAACGAAAACAACCAGATCCTGATGCGAATAACGTTCATCTCACAAGATTTCCCAGGAGGGGAGTAATGCCTTGTCGCCGCTACTAAAGCAAAATATATATTTATTTCTGTATGAAATACAATAATTTTGTCACATGGCCGAAAAATCGGGAGCAAAAAAGGAGGAGGATTTTATTGTCCCGTCTTTTTATAGTCCGGAAAAAGCGCCACCTAGCGTGCATCGTGGCAGTCGAATGAACCTGAATGCTCTCGCTATATTTCAAAGCCTATGGTAACTTTGTTAATTCTCTGGCGAAATTTTACTTGATATTATTATTTTATCATCATGATATTTTTGCATTATATCAAGTACTAGCAGTAGAGCCCGGCGTTGCCCGGGGATGTAACAGTAAGAGATAGATCAAGTATCGACCATCATAAAGACTGAAAAATAAAATTGACAAAGATTATTGTTTAAGGTTGACGGATACACATGTCTTAATTAGTTTTATTTATTTATTTATATATTTTTTTTTACGAATTGGTCAAACCCAAACTCAAACAAAAACATTGTTTTCAATCGTTATGAGTCTACCGATTGAATATAATTTTATTATAATCAATTGTCTTGTAAATGGAATTTTTTAAAGCATTCTGAATGTAAAAATAAAGAAAAAAGTGTGCACGACAATAAGAAACACTCCCTGCCAAAAAAAGTTTTGTTGAAATCGGTTGAAAAATGTAAGAAATCCGATCCCATATATAGACGAACACACACACACACACACACACACACACACACACACACACACACACACACACACACACACACAACCAACCAACCTGGGTTTTATAATAAGTATAACTCGATAACAATAAGTATAACTCGATATGAGTTGTCTCCCTTTCATTAATGCCTCTTAATCGTGTTTTCAAATTGATTTCGTGCAAAAACAATTGTGTTTTTCCGATTTTTGGTGCTGTCAGAACCACCGCAAGTTAATTTTACGTAGTCCTGTGAAGTTTTGCTGAAATCGATTGAAAAATGTAGGAAATCCGATCCAATATATAAACGTACACACACACACACACACACAATCTGTGTTTTATAATAAGTAAGATTAAGAATAGGATCCGCAAATCAGAGGCGAGAGTTATCAATGATTTTGACTTCGAATTTACAGTTATCTCCCTTTAATTTTCTCTCTGTTTTTATCACATGGTGAGGCGCGAGTTGCAGTCCAGAAATTTTGATTCTTTTCCAGTAGCGACATTTATTAACTTCAAAGAGGTACAAAACTCTAATCTCCTTCAAAGTAGCATTTTAGCATCCCGCTATCACTTTCTTATCAATGTTGAATTTTGTACAAATCTGTGCAAAAAGTGGATCAAACAGCTTACCCAGCTTCATACATGTTTTCAGGAAATCTCAGCTTTTAATTGGTCAATGAACACACAAGTGGGCGTTGCAATTCACCCACGTACAAATCTTTTCCAGCGCGTGACCAAGTCAAGATTTTCCGCTCTTTTTCTAGGAGCCTGTCACGTGGTTACGTTAATTATAAATAGCAGACACGAGCTTGTTCTCTCTCTTCTTCTTCCTTGATTTCTCTCGCTACAAGATGTAGTTGTAAAAAGGACTTGCGTCTTGACCATGTGCGGTCAGACGCCCATGAAAACGTATTCACGCATCCACCTACGTTCGAAATTTTCCAAATTACATTACAAACATACGAAACATTTCCAAACCAGCCACAAGAACTTTTCTCTTTAAAATACTTTTCTAAAGCTAAAAGTTTATTCAGCATTTCTCAGCTTTATAATTCATTCAACTTTTGGGAGTTCATAAAAATATTGCAATTTCATCAGTAAAACTTCAATTCAGTCAAAGGGACATAACATCAACAAAGAGTACTATGCATGTACATCATTACATAAAAAAAATAAATATATACCTTGTTGTTTTAAAACCGTTTTTGCATAAGGAAGACAATGAGAAGATACAGGTAAGAGAAGAGCAGAGGTAGGAGATAATGGATAATCTCAGTTGTATCGGAATGGATAAGGAAAAGAATGAGAAGATACAGATAAGAGAACAGCATAAATATAAGATAATGGATATTTGTATTGGAATGGATAAGGAAGAGAATGAGAAGATACAGGTAAGAGAGAAGATTTGGTAGAAGATAATGGATAACATTAGTTTTATTGGAATGGATAAGGAAGAGAATGAGAAGATACAGGCAAAAGAAGAGCATTCATTGGACCCGAGAAGTCTAATTTCCTGTAGAAAAAATAATTATAAGAAGATTTTATGAATTTTAACTGTCAGTAACTCTAAATATTCGGTTAATGTATGCTAATTTTTCCTGTTCGTAAACGTGTAATTTTACCGCTATTCAACGAACACTTGTTTTCTACTGTATTTTCTTTTTTTAATTTTTATTCTATCTCCGGAAATAATTTTCCTGTATCGTAATTTAACTTTTTTCCATCTCTTCTCACCTTTCAAATTTTCTATCATTGTCTTATGATAACAATCCAATATGCCTTTCTCCCAAAGATTTTTGTTTGGTTGTCCATATCAGTCAGTTATGGCACATGGAACTAGAACAGTCTACTCCAGTGAGAGAAATAAAGGGTTCAGTTCGACATTCCGACCACCTGAAGAAGGCCGGAGCGTACAAAGGCCGAAACGTTGTAATAAATATGGCGATAAGATGAGGACAATAGTCCGAATAATGTAAATAGTGTAATGAATAATCTTAGTTGTATTATGTTCCATGCGCGATACACGATTAGGCGATCATGTGTCTTTCGATACATGACTGACTAGGCAGATTTTTTTTCCCAGTAGGTTGCCATTTTTTACTACGGTAGACCAGTTGCCATTCAAGGCTATAGAACCCTGTCTGTCCTGCTATTTACCCGTAACTGGGGTGCGGGAGATGAAGAGGATTCATACCTTTCCCAAGGGTATTAGCACGTAAGTGAATGTAATGGATCCGACTGGAATTCGAACTCGGCTTTCCGAGGTCGTTCATATACGCTTATTTATGCTTACTTTAATCTCTTCTTTTTTTTTTTTTTTGCTTTTAACTTTCTTGCTTCCAATCTCTCCTCTTTCTTACACTCTTTTCTTTCCTCCTCTCCCTCACTTTCCCATTTAATATTTATGCAAGTTTCTCAGCCAGAAAACGTGATGGTCAGATACTGCATAACGGGTCCATACTGACCCCGATTGGGTGGTAGTAATGGGGCAAATTGAAGGTCCCCGGGCAGTGCTTTGTGACCCTTGCTATCTTAACATATGCTTTTTCTACTTAAATTTATATGCGTTACAAATGAATCACAGTCAGTCAGTTAAGCGTCATACGTGATAAACGCCTGGGCGGTCATGTATCTTTCGACACATAACTGACGAGGCAGATTTTACCCGAAGTAGGTTGCCATTTCTTTCTGCAGTAGAACCAAGTCTGTTCTGCTATTCAACCCATAGTTGGGGAGAAAGAGATGGATTCATACCTTTCCCAAGGGTATTTGTGTGTAAGTGAATATTACGAACTCGACTGGGATTCGATCTCGGCTCTCTGAGTTCTCACTTCGAATCGATATCTATCACATCACAACGCACATCACGCCTGACTATTATTAACGGATGAAAAATTTTCGCGCATTTACACGTCATTCTGGGTCTTTTTTTTTTTCGTTGGTCAAATCCTTGAATTTATTTTGCTCACGCTAAGTCTACCCACCGCACCCCCCAAAAAAAAACAAACAAACAAATAACACGATATAAAATTCACCATTTTATCTATAACGTTGAATGTGTTAAAATTCTTCAATTTTCTAAGATTAAAAATCTCAAGTTGGTGCTAAAAATTGCCGCAAAACATTGTTGATTTATTTAAGATGGAATAATCTATTATGACGTCTCTTATTTGTATTTAGATACGTTGATGTTTGGGCTCCTCGAAGCGGTGTAATGGTTAGCGAGCTTGTCTCGCTAGAACAATTACGACTGACTAGTGAGTTCGATCCTCACTGGGTGCCTCCTCCTTTCGACCACATCTAAGCTAAGCTTGGAAAATCACTATATTGCATTGATGTTTCTCGTTGAATTGTTTACTTATATTGCATACGATCTGGGCACCTCGAGGGGGGGCGTAATGGTTAGCAAGCTTGTCTTGCTGGAGTAGTGAGTTTGATCCTCACTGAGTACCATCTATTTTCGGCCTTGTGCCACATCTTAGCTACGCTTGGAAAATCACTATCCTGCATACGATCCATTATTGTACATAATTAGGTTACAATCAAATTTGTATTTTATATGAATACTACCTTATGAAAATTGAGGTGTAATTGAGTGAAGGTGGGGGCTTCTATCATAGATTCGTGGGTGGGGGACGTCTGCACCGGTCCTGCATACTGGTACTGGGTAGGAAAATGTAACGGTTGTACATGCAAAACAAATTTGGTTCCTGGGGTTAGCGCAATGGGTAAATGCTACCAGGGAGGTGGTAGCATTGCGCTAACTGAAGTGGTAAGATCAGAAGGCACATCTTAATGCCTGCAGCAACAGCCAGTAGAACCGAGCAATTAATTGCCACTGTCCACATTTTAAATGTATCACCTTAAAATAGCGACCACTTTTCACATCTTGCCTTCGTGTGGAGTTAATTGGAATGTCTACACACTCGTTCACACACATGCGTCTCTTTCTCTCTCCCTCCTCTCTCTCTCCCCCCCTCTCTCTCTCTCTCTGTCTCTCTCTCTGTGCGCGGGAAGAGTGACGCTTCGGCTTCTTGTACCGATAATGAACGGGATGACGAAAAACGGATCAGATCGGTGCGTACGAAATCTGAAATCAGTTCTTCATGATTATATATATATATATATATATATATATATATATATATATATATAACGTGAAAAAAAAAGAGATTTGTGAGACGAGACCTGAGACTCCCGTTTCTGTCCTTCCGGCTCAAAGAGACAAAAAGAAAAGAGACGACAGAAAGAAGAAAAAAACTTGCACTTTCTGTCAGTCGAGCGGGGCACATGGCGATCGGCGATTGCTGTCGCAACAAACCTGATGTCGCTAGTATGTCAATTCATTTTTTTATTTTTTTTTTTATAGATCGACTGTTTTCGGACAAAATCGTACATACTCGACATCTTTTTTCTCCAATGCACTTTTCTTAATGGGCGCACCTTGTGAAGACAGTTACGCTTTAAAGAACCGGGGAAGGAGGATCATTTTGATTCAATTGTTCGTATCGTGGTCTGTTGTCGCTAATATGCTCCCATATCTGCTGGTCACTCAATCTTACTCTTTCTATATTTTTTTCATTCATTTAATTATTATTTTTATACGGACATTTCTTATTTATTTTTTTTATTTTTATTTTTTTTTGCGTGACATGAAATAAAAACACGATCGTAATTTCTTTTTTCTTCTTACTTCAATAAAAAAGAAGGGTTTGTGGGTTTTCTGTCGCCACTTTTTAAATTAATTTTCCAACTTTTTCACAAATACAGATGTGTAAAAATCTACTATCCCAAAGATTTATTTAGCAGTTTGAAAAAAAGGAAGAAAAACAACATTTCAAAAAAAAAAAAAAAAAAACATTTTAAATAGCACATCTAACTTTAAAACATCACCAATATACGTAAATTAAAAACTGGCGACAACCCACAAAATTAAACACTCTAAACAAGATCACCAAATGGGGGTCATTCTTTTAATTCAACTAAAAAATAAAATCAAAATTATGTTTGTTTATTTAATTATTTATCGGAAAATTGTTTATTCAATTATTTATCAGAAAATGAAAAATTATACAAGAAAAGGCTTCAAATTACAATGGACACCAACTTTCAGCTCCATATTTTCTTAAGTATCAAGTTTATAAAGTGCAAAAAAAAAATCGGCAAACCGTGATTTCCGCATGACAGGTTGTTCTAGAAAAATTCGAGACAGAACTGTAGCGTTTGTACCAAATATAGCGTCGAGTCGATTCACTAAATGTAGCAGGAACGCCAAATATATAGGTACTACTACTATTTGTATTAATGATTCTTCCACGTACAGGATTCAAGAAATAATAACAACAACTCCAATTTGTTAACCAACAAATATATATTGAATAAAATACAACAACAAGGATGAAATAATTTTGTATTCACAATGTAGATTAAAGAGAAAGGAAGTTCTTTCCCCTTGACTGTAGATTGATTGTAATCAATCGTTTGAAGAAAGTTCTCTTGTGAGATAAATGTTCCGAAATAATTGTTAGAGCAAAGTTTGCATGTGAAGAATGAATAACACAAAGAATACAAGTGCTTGAAATGTGTTGTGAATAAAATGGTTGGAATCAACAAAGTTCTGGTTGATTGTGCTTGGCGAAAGTTACAGAAAGAAAATGTAAGTTTGTAGTTTCGAAATTCTGTGTCTGTGTGTGCGTTAGAGTGTGATGAGCAAGATCGTGGGTTTGTGTTGACGGCTGGGATCTTACTGGCAACTTGCGAAAAGTCGACCTATTTAAGGAAAAACTAACCAATCACTACACACGTACTAAACAGAATAGGTAAGTATGCCCAGAACCAAAAGATTCAAAGGAACGACTGCGATGGCTAAATTGTCCTATACAAAGGTAGTATTAATTTATTAGCCAATCGCCGGGGAATAAAATGACTTGGAGAGTATGTGGGTGTGAAAAACATAGCAACCACTATAGAAGTTTGTCCACAAGAAAACAACTTGTCACATGATCTTCAAACATGTAAGAATATAAGATAAAAACCCTAGTACTGACATTCCTATAAATGTTAAATATGGTTACTGCATAGAAATAGTCTATAAAAGGTTAGAAATGACAGTAAAACTAATTTAGATGCTGTATTTAGCTTCTAGCATACGTCTTTTTGTATTTTTGGCTATTTTCAGGTCCTTATAAAAATAAAAGTATATAAGACATATATTGTGTTTGTTTTTTTAAAATGTAGATATATTTTTAGGCTTGTTATTCAATTAAAATATGAATGCGCACTCAAAAAACATATACACATAATTTGAATGAAATTGAAATGAACATCTGTATTGGGAAAAAAAGAAAAGAGTATTATTAGCCGACCCTTTGAAGTCATTTTCATGACTTCTGTATTTAAACTGGATATATTTTCTAATAAATGTAGATTTTTAAATGGATAATTTAGATTTGAAATTTGATCACATTGTAGCGACTGCTATGCTTTTCCACACCCACATTTTATTCGTCTGTGATTGGCTAATAAATCAATACTGCCTTTCTATAGGAAAATTTAGCCATCGCAGTCGTTGCTTTGAATTTTTCGGTTTTGAACTTGCTTACTTGTTTCGTTAGTACAAATTTAGCTATTGGTCAATTTTTAACCAATCACATATTTTAGTGCAAAATCAACTTTTCCCGCGGTTTCGCTGGGAGCCTATCTATAGCTTTAAAAGAGGCGACTTTTTCACAAGCCGCCGGTAGAGTCCACTAAATTTCACCTGTCAACACAAACCTATGACTTTACTCACAAGATTTCAAACGCACACACAGAATTTTGTAATACATATATACATATCTCTCTGTGACTCAGTTAAGTTCAATCAACCAGGACTCTGTTGATTTCTCTAACACAACACACTTTCTGATCAATTGTATTCTTGTGTTATCTATTCTAACAGAAGACTTGTTCTAACATTGATTCCTGAACATTTCTCTCTTAAGAGAACTTTCTTTCGAACAATCAATTACAAATCAAAATACAGTAAAAGGGAAGCAACTTCTTTTCCCTTAATCTATACATTGAATACAAATTATTCTATATTTTGTTCTTGCATGTTATTTCAATATATACTTGTTGATTCACAGTTGGAGTTTTGTTGTTTTCTTGAATCATTAATAATACAAAAAGTATATGCGCTAAAGAACACACCATAACAACATTGCCGTCAGTGAAGTGACAAGCAACCAACTAGTAAATGATAAAAAAGAAAACTCAACAGCAGTCTAAGACTTAACTGCTCAGAAAACAAATATTTAAGAACCAGATAATTTTACAGATCGTACATAAGGAAAAATCTTTTTTTTTCTTTTCTTTTTGGGCTCTCTAAAATTCTGTAATTCTTAAAAATATGAATTCTTCAATTTTTATAAATAAATAAGGAACCTCCAAAGTAATGGATTGCAGCTTGGATTGAAGAATTGTACAGCCGAATTCAAATTCATTACATTCACTTACAGGCTAATACCCTTAAGAAATGTATGAATATCCCCCCCCCCCGGGGGGGGACTAGGTTCTATAGGAACCGGTCTAGGAGAAAGAAAACTGAATTCAAACTAGCCTGGAACTTCGATGTTGCATAATATGTGAACTTGTATACATGTCACTAGGTGTCACTGTGTGAGATTTTTGCATCCTCATACGTCGAAATCGACGAGAGAGTTAATAATATTAATTGGAATATTTTAAGAAAAGTAAGAGTTAGTAGAGTGAATAATAGCAACCTCTGTAAGCTATGTCAGGAGGAAAAGTTGGTCATTGCAACATGAAAGAGAGGTCTGAAATTATAGCAAAATGTAGTCACATGAGGAAGTTGACTTTGAGATTACGAACCTGGATGAATTTGTAAATTCAATTATATTTTTTTTTACCACTTCTCCCGCCAATCATTTCTTTCGGCGACACTTTAAGAAATTTAAGTTCTTGTTGTGGTGTCTCTTAGCATTTCGCCGAGTTAACCACCTGACGAGACCTTGGCGGTAGGGTTCCATTCAGCGTTTTATTATTTTAGGATATTAAATCGCTCTACACAAGTTTCATTTTTCTGACTTGAGATTGAGCACTTTTTAACACATACAATTTTAAACCATTTTAGCGTTTATTTATATTCGTTGCGAAAAATATATATATATATATATATATATATATATATATATATATATATATATATATAATGAGAAAATAATATATAATATATATATATATATATATATATATATATATATATATATATATATAATGAGAACGAAAATAATATATAAATTCAAACGTTCACAGCATTAATTCAAAAGAGCGCTCAATATGAAGAGTAGAGCAAAAATTATTTATTATAATTTTTACATATAGACAAAAACAATTTGGTCGCTACAAAGATGCAACCTCGTTTCGGTGCATTTAGTTGCACCTCGACTGGTGAGAACCAAAAATGGTTATATTTTTGGTTCTCACCAGGCATCAGAAGACACAAGATGCCGATTGGTTTTGCATTTAAATTTTTAAAGATTGCAGACGGCAAGGAAGCAAGAAATCGGAAGGGAGTTCTACAGGCGAGAAGTGCAAGAAAAGAAACTTTTTAGAATAGAGCATACCCTTGCAGCTAAGTAGTTCATTATTAAGACGGCGAGACCTAGTTGCCAATCTAGTAGTACGCTTAAATGCACGCAGTCGAGGCATCTGGGAAGAAAGCTCATCAGAACAATTGCCATGGAAATATTTGTAGAAAAGACAGAGGGCAGCCACGTCATGTCGTTGAGAAAGTGACTGAAGACGAGATGCCAGGTCAGGATCGATTATATTACAGATCCTTCTTTGAATGATATCAAGAATCTCGAGATATGTAGTAGTAGCAACAGACCAGATATGTCAGATTATTTTGTTTTGTATTAAGTATTTTATTGTTTTAGAAGTACTTGTAAGAAAAGTTAAGCTTAGATAAATTCATTTCAATTATAGTTGGAGCAGAGTTG